TGGACCTGTCCTTGGTCCCCCTGTCATGATTGGATCACAATCTGGTGGCAATGAGTTTCTCAAAAGCTGTACCCCCTGCAGGGAAGCAGGCCTATTAGATTGATCCGCCCCCATCGGCTGATGGACCTGGATGAGTTCCAGAAGAGCTGGGGTTTATAACTGCAGATCTACTGTGCAGTCCAGCTGAGCTCTTAGTCACTGTTTGGAATAGGAAGGTGACTGAGGCTCTGGATAGGATTTTATCCTTGCAACCTCTCCTCCCCCATAGACCTCTGTGCCCTGTGGTCTACAGAGGAACTGAGAGGGATGAAATGCATGAGGAGACGTCTAGAGCACTGCTGGTGGAAGACGGGATGAACTTGATTGAACACAGGTAAGAACTGCTACTAAGGCCTACCTCGTGGCGATTCGTGCGGCGAAATATAAATACTTCTCCACACTAATTGCATCTGCAGACAATCACCCAGTGACCCTCTTTAAGGTGAGCCTCCTTCTCCTGGGGAAAGAGGAGATTGAGGTCCATCTGAAGGGGTGCACTGAGGAATGTGTTGATTTTCTGGAAGACAAAATCACTCAACTTCATTCCCAGTTAGATGCCGGTGTGGTTGCTGGTCCCATGGAAGCCCCTGAGGCAGGTTCTTGCCCTGTTATGTGGGAACAGTTTGACCCTGTTGCTCCCAAGGAAGTGGACAGAATCCTAGGGTGTATGCATGCAAGCACCTGTGTTTTAGACCCATGTCCCTCCTGGCTTGTGAAAGCTTTCCAGGAGGTGACAGGCAGACGGACCCTGGCGATGATTAATGCTTCCCTACAGGAGGGGGGGTGCCCCAGCACTTTAAGGAGGCTGTGGTCCACCCTCTTTTTAAGAAGCCATCGCTGGATTCCACCCGGTTGGATAATTTCCAACCTTTTTGGGGAAGGTTGTTGAGACGGTGGTCACACAGCAGCTCCAGAGGTTTCTGGATGAAACGGATTATTTTGACCCCTACCAGTCAGGATTCAGACCTGGATTTGGGACAGAAATGGCATTGGTCGCACTTTTGGATAATCTCTGGCGGGAGCGGGATGGGGGTAGTACATCCATCCTTGCTCTACTTGACCTCTCGGCAACTTTTGATACCATCAGCCATGAGATTCTGCAGGGACGGCTTCAGGGAATGTGAGTGGGAGGTCTCGTGTTGTTCTGGTTCACTTTTTTCCTCTTTGGCCACTCTCAATCAGTGATGACAGGAGGAGAGAGATCCAACCCTCGCCCACTGCTTTACGGGGTTCTGCAGGGTTCGGTACTCTCTCTGCTCCTGTTCAACATTTATATGAAGCCGCTGGGTGAGAGCATCCGTCACCATGGACAGAGGTATCACCAATATGCAGATGATACTCAGCTGTATGTCTTGGCCTGTGGTGAGTTAGTGTTGCCGTGTCCTCTGTCTTGCAGTGCCTGGAGGCTGTTAGGGGCTGGATGGGGAGCAATGGGTTGAAACTAAACCCTTGCAAGACCGAGTGGCTCTGGGTTTGGGGTTCATTGGTCAGGGAAAATTGCCACCTTTGGTCTTGGATGGGGTGGCACTAACCCAAACAGACCCTGTGCATAATCTAAGGGTTTTCCTGAACTCGCGACTCCTGCTTGAAGAACAGATGGTGGTTGTGGCCAGGAGGGCCTGCAGGTTGTGTACCAGTTACACCCTTTCCTGGACCAATGGTCCCTACTCACAGTCACTCATGCCCTAGTCACTTCCCATCTTGACTATTGCAACATGCTCTACATGGGGCTGCCCTTGAAGAGCATCTAGAAGCTCCAATTGATGCTCCATCCAGTTGGCCTGCATGGTTTTGTGCAGACCCCGGTGTACATATGTATCACCTCTCCTGCGGGAGCTGCATTGGTTGCTGATTTGCTTCGAGGTGCAATTCAAGGTGCTGGTTGTCACCTTTAAAGCTGTTCTGACCCAAGCCTTGTTCAAATTAAACAAACACAAACTGTGTATAAAAGCAAACCTTTTTTTAATGCGGCACTGGGAATTCAGTTCATTCCCAGCCAAGAGATATTTAAACCTAATTGTCCCTTATCAACAGCAAGCCCTTTCAAGGTTGCAAAAGGCTGCCAAGAACAGAAGAGTAATTACTGATTAAATATCCACCGACAGAAGTTTCAAAAACAAACCGGAGTAAGCAGGGCTTCAACGAGGACTATGAGTCTAAAGAACTTTTTTGCTTCCTGCAAAGAACATATCCCCGAGGGCTTTTTTATCCCTTATGGGAGGGGCCATCATCTTCCAGCCTTACTCCCAAGTCGCCCTTGCTGCTTCAGCTGCTCTTTCCTTCGAGCAGCCCTGTGTGCATGCGCACTGGGCCCAGGCTCCCCGGGGTCCTCTGCATCACTGCTGCCAGACTCCACAAGCTCCGAAGGCAGCACCCCACTCTCCGATAGTCCTGGGCCCCATCCCTGCATTACACGCAGGCCTCTCATCCGAGTCCTTGCTATCAGAGACCTCTGCTGTGCACACTGGCTGCCGGCAAACCACAACAAAAGCCCTTCATGGCTTGGGACCATGTTATCTTGTCAGTCACATCTACCCAACCCATCAGAGCAGGGAGGCAGGGAATGTTGCAGGTCCCATCCCCAAGGGAGATACACCTGAGATTAGAATGGCCCTCACTCTAATACTCTTCTGGAAGGTGCTGAAGTCCTGGTTCTGCCAGAGGGCCTGGGGAACCCAGAGTGGGATGGAGCCCATTAAATGGCTCGTGTGATCTGCTGTTGTCGGAGTGGAGGGGGGAGATTTTGTTATGTTGTATTTTATTAATTTATTTGATTCTTTTTGGTAGCGTTTATTGTTTTAAATGTAGTTTTATATTCCGTAAGCAGCCTTGGGCAAATAGGCAGCAATATAAATTAAATAAATAAATAAACATTTTTCTGATGAAATTTCTGTCTTCTTTTGTGCGGTAGTCTGGTACAACTAAATAATTTTAGAGTGGCAGGGATCAATTTTCCTACTATTACCTCCCAAGTTTTATATGTTTCTGCATTCCTGAGACCAAGAGAAAACCAACAATTAATTACTTGCCAGTCTCATTTGACAAACAAAATGTCAAGCATGTTCTATTTTACACTGGATCAGAAATAAAGCTGAACTTGCTTCTGTGATGCTGATAAGATACACATTTGTATTTTGCTACAGAGAATATCACACTTACCACTTTTATTGACAATAATACTGGAGGTATCATTGACAACTTTCATTCCAAATGTCTGTTTGGTTCTCCTGCATGTCGATGGTCACCTTATGTTTTCATGTAAGTTCATAAAACTCTTTTGAAAGAATCATTTTATTGAAAAAATGTTTGCTCAAATACTCCGCACTAGTAAACTCTCTTTATATGTGCCAATATTTTTAGCTGTATATTCTGTTAGAAAGGAAATGTAAACAACATATTTGTTAACATGGTTTATTGGCACACATATTGGCAAAGCATACATAAAATATAGCTGTATCATAACACATCAACTCACTGTATTTTAATGTGATGAATTAAAAATATTATGTAAATGAAAAAAATTAGTTTATTTTATAAAGTTTCACATAAATATATTACAATCAAAAATTATTAATTTGAAGGGCTTTACAAAAATATTATTGTACAAGAAATAAAGCATGAAGAGAATCAAATAAAGAATATGCAATAAAACCCAAACTGGTTTTTGTTCAGATTGTTCACAAAATTGATGGATTACATGGCTTTCAAAATTCAGATCAACAGGAATTTTACAAAGTTTAAACTTTCATAGGTTACAGCTACCCTCCTTCCACAAACAAATGTTTGTTATGTGTTTGATGAAACAAAATGGCATTTATAATTGTTTCAGTGCTTTTCACAAGGGGATGAACACTTTGATTTAGAATCTGTTACATTGTTTGCTTGAAAGCAATGAAGAATAGAAAAGGGAGAGGAAAAAAGAAGGCAAAAGGTCAACTTATGCCAGGGAAGAAAAAAAATATGGAGATGTTGAGAAAGAGAAGGCTTTTGACAAATCCCAACTTCAGGAGAATGAAACATGTGTAACTTTGATCTCACAATTATTCTCAGCCAGTCACATAGCTAGATATGCATGCTCACACCCTTTTCAAGAAACCTGACAGAGCCACACAAAAAAATATTGGGGTATTGTTATGATCTTACTGCAACAGCTTAAAGACTTATCATTTTAAACATCAAGGCTGTATTTTGTAATCAGCAACATTAGAATGATTGGATCTTTAATAAAGCCCACATTATCATGGCTGAATCATTGCTGTCCCAGAAAGCTTCGTTTACTTCTTTGAGAAAATATTTTAACTTCAAATGTTACAGTCGCATTCTCCACCACGTGGCCTCAGATCTTCTGGTCCTCAGTTGCTGACCCAGATGGGGGAAAGTTTCAGTCCAGAATAGGTAGACTAACTATTAAACCTTTGCTACTCTTTTCAAAATAATAACAATAAGCTGTTTTTGGAGCCTGAATAAAAAACAATTATCTCTGCCTCTCGCCTTCTCAAACGGATAGCCAGAAAAATCAATGGCACAAACAGAAAATAAGGGCTGTTTCCAAATTGTCTGATCTTTCTATTTATATTGCAGAACGAGAAAAGCCAGGATGTCTTTTATCATGGTAAAAAGAAAGTAATTCGATCCTGAGCACTCACAGAAGATATGGCCTTTATAGAAGAAAAGGGGATTATCCTGAGGAAAAATCCTCCATCGAAATGTAAAAATCATCATGAGGTGCTACTTACATATTTAGTTTCACTGAGGTTTAGTGCCAATATCATCATGAGTACAAGAGTTTCCGAGATCATCATCATTATTATTTTTCTAATTTCAAAAAAGATAGCTGTACATCTAGAAATAGCTTCTATCTCTGTGGAAAACCTAGACGTTTTTGTTCTGGTTACCTATGGAATGCTGTGAGATGGGGATTAGTTGTTATTACTGGCCGAGCAGGGGGTGGGTATGGAGCTCTACTGGGAAGCCTGGGGTGTGGGGTTCTCAGACTTGGTCTCCTGGTTGGTCGAAGTTTTACTATTCCAAGGACTGTTATTTCCTAGGGCCGGGGAATTGTTGAAGTCTTCATCATCATCCAGGCCATTGGCTGCATCATATTGTGTGTTCTCCAGTCTAGTGATCAACCGCTCATCTTCATCACCAAATTCTCCACCCATCAGAGTGGGTTCCCCAACGACCATCACATCCTGGAAAGGAATCTACGATTTGTTAGCTGTTATAAACTGGAGCAAGCTAAATAAAGTATCTCAATTCCTATGAGAGGATTACCCAGAGCCCTTCCACACATTCCCCCAAATTATCACTGCCAGGCCTCAAAAGGGTATGTTCAAACTTGTTGGCATTCTGTTTGTATATGGTAACTTGAAAATCCAATTTTCAAGAATTCCAAACTGTTGACTGAAAGGATTGAAACAGTTGTGTAAAAAGGTAACACGATACTGTATAGAATCAACACATTATTAACAATTCACATTCAGATTATTGGGGTTTTCAGGTAGCAAAAGCAAGGAGTATCACCTCAGAAATAGTTTTATTAGTCTCAAAGACAGAATTTAGGGAAATCTGTTCTAACAAGATGCTTGGAAGCTGTCTCGGTTGCCTCTACCTCAAAAGCAGAAGTGGGATAAACCAAAACTCCTGATCAAATCAGGGGTGGTCAAAAAAAGTCAA